ACCACCACCACCACCACCACCACCACACGGCCTCCGCCGCGTCCGGGTACGCTGAACCTGTGACATTTCCAGCGCGGGCCGCTCGGCCGCTGATGGAAGTCTGGCGTTGGTGATTGGCGCTATTGCGGACTCGGGTCCTTTGCGCATTCGACCCCCCCCCACACACACACACACATACACTCGGAGAGCCACGCGGCCGGCGACACGCGGAGATACGCTCGGGGCAATTTCACGCCCTCCGCTGACCTCCATGGACCCTCCGCCACGGGATTCCCGGAGCCGCTAAGCACTTTCGGCGCAGAGAGGCAATGGCTCTTTGTGCCACGCCAATCCATTGATGAATAGTTGTAAAATAATAAATGGTAACGGCGTAATACCTAATTAAGTAATGAATTACAACGAACCACAAACGACAGTATCAAAATCACCACTACAATTTCCATTACAAGTTAACAATTACGAATATTACCACTTCCATAAGTATGATATCCAAAACCATTAATTTTACTTGTTCAACCATCATCACCACCACTATTCAACCACCCACAACAATAACCATAACAACATAACCCCCATCACCATGGCTAGTTCTATCTTTTGATCGCCATTATCACGACCAGCGCCTTTTGTCCTCCACCTACCCCAGCTACGAAATAGTGACCTCTTCGTCTAACATCGGCCACCTCACCACCTTTACCAACATCAACACAATCATAAAGTATTCTCCTCGACCTCATCTATTTCCACAGACTGGGAGAGATGGTTCAGGGCGTCAACCGATCTCACTGCAGTGCCTCTGACTGGGGGTTCTAGGTTCGAGTCCCGTCCACGGTAGGATATTCGACACTAGCTTCTCAGCTATGTCGAATCCTATCGTTGGAAGAGAATTCTAGCGGCCGCCATTCCGTCCGTCTGACCGTCTGTCCGTCCATCTGTCTCTCCGCCAGTCCGTCTGTCCTTCCGTCTAACCGTCCGTCTGTCTGCTTGTCCATCTTTCTGTACACGTAGGCTTCCGCAGCTCGAGTTCATGACTTCTTGGCTGTGCGGGTGACGCCGCGTCGTTGGCAGAGGCCGACGTTTCGCCTGTCATATCCCTGTTGTCACTACCCTGAAGAAGCCTGCGATATGACAGGCGAAACTTCAGCCTATCTGCCAACGACGCGGCGTCACCCGGACGGCCTAGACGTCATGTCCATCTGTCTGTCTGTCTGTCTGTCTGTCTGTCTGTCTGTCTGTCCGTCCGTCCGTCCGTCCTCTGTGTCTGTCTGTTGGCCTGTGTACAACGCCAGCGGCTAAACCATTCAGACGATTTTCTTTAGAAATGATATTCCTCAATTTATCTGGCCAATGTCGTGGCTCTTTGAATATGAAACCGCTATTTTAAATCTGGCTGGTACTTCAAATGAAACCCTTGAGATATTTCCCCAAATTTAAAAAATATCTCCATCCTTTTTATTTTGTTGCATAGTGTGAAGGACTTTTAAGAGAATGCTGAAGAGTTAAGAGAATGTTGAAAAGGTTTCATGCTCGTTGAAAACCATGATTTTTTTAAAATTGCAAAATTTCCAAATTTGTTCGCACTCCTACTACTACTAAAATATAAAATATATATTTTTCCCTTAATTAAATATCTTGCTTAAAGACGGATCTTTAAATAAGTTCGTGTTCA